TGATCGTCCTATTTTCGGCCTCCCCAGTGCTGGACTTAGAGGCCTGTACCACCATGCCCAGACTTGGTGATTCACTCAGGGACCCTGGGAGTCAAGCTGGCAGGGCATATAGTGCTGGGATTGAACCTGGTCCCTGAGCTTGTCTAAGCAGATGCTTAGTCCTCAGAGCTATCTCGCCAGCCTGTAGACTACAACTTCTTAACTTCTGTTTCATTGTCAGAAAAATTCAAACTGAACCAGAAGTATTTTTCAGTAAGTTAAAACTTGAATCTCTAGGGAGAGAACATTTGAGAGTTTTTACTGTGCGTGAAAGTATGCAACTTTTTGTTCCCGTCATTTTTCCTGTTAAGCCTGGTAGTGGACAAGATCTAAAATTCAAGTTCTGTCATTCTGCACAGAAAGGAGGGCTATGTTTTGCCTATTGCTTGTGTGCCTGTTAATATCCTGAATCTGAAAGGTAGCAAAGCATGAATATAATGCATGCTATTTTATTATAGTAAAAAATATCTGATTAGTAACAATACCCTACATTTCTAAGCAATATAGATCTGCATTCAGTAATAGAAATCAAATATTTATGGGTCAACTCTACACAAATCTAATTTATTAGTTAGAATGATATACTATAATTATGATGAATAAAAGCAGAAGCAATTTAGTAGGTGATTATAGTATTTAAATATTTTTTAAAAGCACAGAAGGGAATAACTATTTTCATATCTAATAGGTAACTCTAAGACTGATGGTTAGAAGTTGCAATGAGGTATATTTCAGTACATGGGGAAATGTTTCTTTAAAATATAAAAATAAAACAGAGCTTCCTGAGCAGGAGGAGGCTGCTTGGAAAGCAGTGTTTCTCCCTTGCATTAGACAGGGAAGCCTAAATGCTACACAGAAGTGCTCGACAGCAAATTTTAGCCAACTTTATCTGCAAAAGGCCAGACAATAAATCTTTCTGGCTCTTGTGGGCCATCTGATCTTTGTTGCAACATCTTCATTTTGTAGGCAGAGGGAGAAAGCAGGCACAGCCAATGCACGAGGGAATGCGCGTGTGACAGCCAACCGTTTATATAACAGTGTAAAGTAAAGGAACAACTGGGATAAAGGGAAAAGAGAAAAGAAAGAAGAAAGGAAGATCAAAAGAAATGTATAATTATATACACACAGGATAGCTTGGATAAGTGGTGCTGCTGATTTCTGATGGTCTTTTTAAAAGTTGTTAATGCTTAATTTTTTTCCTCTCTCTTTTTAAAATTTTTTACAGTTTTGACCAATTATACAGGCTTATACCCAAGCATCTGAACAACTAATTTGAAGACAACAATATGCACCATAACAACCACTGTTGAATTTCTATCATTTTGCTTAGCGAAATGTTGTATTGTTGCTTTTCTTTTTTTTCTTTTTTTTTTTTTTTTACTATTTTTTGTATTCCCTTTAAAAACAACAACAACAACAAAAAAAAAAGAAACCTTCAGGCCAGATTTGGTCTGTAACCTGCAGTTTCTTAGCCCTACTATACCACACATTTCCTAAACTGGATGGGGAGGACTTAAACATTAAACAAGCCCCTTAAAAATCTAAAATTTCATTGTTAATGAATTTTGGGTGCAGGATACAGGAGAGTACAGGTAGCATTTGTTAAAATGTACCTCTAGGAGGGGCTATCCATACCCACTCCTCATTCAGGTGTGTCTCTAGGCAGCTACAATAGGAAAAAAAATAGGTGGATTTAAGTTGCGTGGCCTCAAATACATGAGAATGTTATGAACATGCTAAAAAGGGAAACTCATGCTTGAATTGTGTGACACTAAGATAAAATAGGTTTTTCCTGAGTTAAAAACGTTCATGTATTTCTATATCTGTTTAGATGTAAAGTCAATAAGTAAAAATTATAAATTTACACATATATGTATTTTAGATACATTTACACTGTGAACTAATGGCTACAACCAAGCTACCTAATGCAACCATTACCTCACGTAGTCATCATTCATGTGTGATAAGAACAAAAAACTACTCATTACAATTATGTTATATGCAACTCAGTATGTTGACTATAGTCATAACGCTTCTGTAGATTTCCCAATTTATTTACCTTGAAAATTGAAATTTTCACCCTTGGACCATCATCTTCCCACTGCTCACTCTCATTCTATGTTCTGGCAGCCACAATTCTTGTTGTCGCTGTGGCTTTAGATTTTTAGGTCCCAAATACAAGTGTATCTATTCGAATCATGTGATGCCTGTACTTCACTCTGTGAGGATGCTGGGCCTCCATTTGTGTTGACGAAACAAAATACCTGAAGCCAAGTAATCTATAAAAGAAGAGATGAATTTGGCTCACAGTTCCTGCAGCTGGAGTTTCTGAACGGCGTAGTGGGAGAGTCGCGCTTGTCACTTGGCAAGAGTCTTTGATGCATTACAACATGGTGGAGAAGTGAAAAGACAACCAGCCACATGTAGAAGGGGCTCAGGTGTGAGGGAAGAAGCTAGAGAGATTTAGGGGAGACGTGAGGCTTGCCCATAGCAACCAATAAAGTAGGAAGTCCTGGCAGAGCAAGAATGAGCTCTCCAGAGAAAAAAAGCCTTGTGCTAAAGGCCTAACCACCTTACCCTAGGCCTTTCCTCCTAGGTGTTCCCCACATTCCAACATCAAACGCACCAAGCGCTCAGAGCATGAACGTTTTGGGTTCAATTAAATCCAAATTATAGCACTTTTAAATTTTCGTACTTTGAAACATTCTCGCAACCAGAAATAAATTCCACTCATTCGTGTGTGTGTGTGTGTGTGATGCTGAATTTGGTTTTGTTTGGAATTTTTTTCATTTAGTTCATCATTCTTCCTTTAATATTTAGCATAATCCACTACACACACACACACACACACACACACACACACACACACACGAATGAGTGGAATTTATTTCTGGTTGCGAGAATGTTTCAAAGTATGAAAATTTAAAAGTGCTATAATTTGGATTTAATTGAACCCAAAACGTTCATGCTCTGAGCGCTTGGTGCGTTTGACGTTGGAATGTGGGGAATACCTAGGAGGAAAGACATGAGAGCTTAAACTCTGCTGAAAAATTTTGACTACTGTCTTGGTTACTTATCTCTCATTGCTGGGACAGAGGATCCAACACCCAGAATTAAGGAAGGAAAGGTTTATTTCGCTCACAGTTTATGGAGGTTTCAGTCGATACTCGGCTGGCTTCAGTGCAGTGTGGCATGCCACGTGGGCAACAGTTCAAGTCAGCACCTCGGATTTCATGAATCTGTACATTTATTTCCATCTTCACACTTAGGAATCAGATTTGGGGGCCAGGGAGATAGCTCAGTAGAATAAGCACTTGTCTGGCACGTGCAAGGGCCTGAGTTCAATCCCCAGTTTTGCTAAAATTAAAAAAAAAAAAAAGGATCAGATTTGAGAATTTTTCTGTCATTATTTCTCTAAATAAGCTTTTAAAGGACAAGTTTTTTTGTGGGGTATGGTTTTTGGTTTTTTAACTAGGAATTGAACTCAGGACCTTGCACTTGCCAGACAGGCACTGGTCAGCCTACCCAAAGATTCTGAGTAGGCCAGTTGGTAGGGACTAGAATCAGACTTGGAACTAGAGTCCTCAAGTAGACTGTCTGGACCCAAGACTAACAAGAGTGAGCCTGGTGCTGAGTCTGTAGAGGTATGCCTGGGGCCTTGGATCACTGGGGCTTCCAGTATTCTCTGTGTGAGGACTAGTTTGAAGTTAATTGAGTCCTAGAGGGCTGACTTGATACCATGTTGGGATAAGAGCTTGACTCTACAGTGGCCAGGCCAACATGAGGTCACATGTGGGGCAGTTAGGGTGAATGCCAACTTTATTGGCTTTGGGATTTGACTGGGGCACTGGCAGAGCCTAAATTTGATATATCTGTGTGGGTCATGGAAGTAAGACCTCACCCTACCTTCTCCGACACTGCTTTGTTTTATATTAACCATGAATTAAACAGCTTTGCTTCAGCACATACTTCCATCATGACTCTGCCTAAGAGCTAGCTGACAATGGACTGAATCTTCTGAATCCATAAGCCAAATTGAAACTCTTCTCCTTTAAGCTGAAGGTGCCCTGTACTGTGCCCTGAGATGGGATATCTAATACAACTTAGTATGTTGGTTTATGAGAATGGATCTGACCCTTACTCTACAAAAGTCATCTTAGTATTGGTGTCCACTGATGTAGGCTCTTAGAATCTGAGTTCGTAAGGATTAGTCCGGGATTCTGATAAACTAAGCTTGGATAGGGTCTACCACAGGCCTGAAGTTCATATATTGGGGAACCACTTTAGAGCCCAAGGTTTCAGGGGTCTGTGGTCTGACCCTGGGACACAGAGATCGGAAGGCACGCTGCTGTGAGCTGGAGGTGGAGTTTTCAGGTTCTAGGTCGGAAATGTGGGTTTACAGTGACTGGCCTGGTGCTTTTACTAGGATAAGCCTGTTAATTCCTGGCAATATGGTGGGCACACGATCACTCTCCTTCCTTAATGCTGGAGAAGTCTCCATGTTGAGCTGCCTAGGGAGAAGGGGATGTGGCTAACGAGACACTGTCCTTCCCTTAATCTTCCATGTATCTGTTCTTATTTCTGTGCTCCAGCCAAGTGTGTTAGCCACTCGCTTGGTGCCTTAGTTATTAAAAATGTAATTTTGTATTAAGAAAGCTTTTCATATTGATATGTCTGCAAGTGTATGAATGTTGGAAACTTTTATTCTTTTTTATTTTATTTTATTTTATTTTATTTTATTTTATTTTATTTTATTTCAAACCAAATTGGTAGGAAGAACTGAGCTAAGAGGCAGGCCCCCTGAAGACTTTTATTCTTGACACCACTCTGAAATAGTTAATATATTAAACAAATATGCACAGATATAAGGCGTCCATGGAATGTATTGACAGGACAAAAGGCTGAAGCTATTGGCAGAAGGCACAAGTCAATATTAGACCCAAGCAAATAGAGCCTGCAGTGCCCTGGGACAGCTGGAAGAGTGTTCATTTTTTTAAGTGGCAAGAGACGCTCTCACCTCCCGAACCACAGAAACAATTGTGCTGGCAGGTAGTAAACTTCTATGATTCTGATTGCTTCTAAATACAGTGTTTTGTTTTTAAGGATTAATTGTTACTGTATAAAGAATTTATTAATTTGTGTTCTAATTGCCTATCTAGACAGTCTGGAAGGAATTGATGCTTCTGTGTATGGGACTATTTAAGTACAAAATATTTAAATGTCAAAGATAATATTTGAGCAATTTAAACATTTTTAAATGGATTTAAATATTTTCATAGTTTTTCTGTATATAGTGTTTCTTAGACTACTAGTATTATCACTTTTCACAGTGCTTATTTTGTTTAAATCCTCAAGGTTTTATAACTGTTTAAGTTTTCAGTCTCCATTTTCTTTCCAAAATTATTAGCAACAGAGGTACAAAGTTAGAGATCAATGGAGTACTAGTCTAGAATTCTTAATTTGTGTCTGGAGAGAGAGTATAAAATTGCTAAGTTCCTTGACAAAAAAAAATGTGTCCAAAAAATTCCTTACTCTGTATATTGATGATTGTGTACTTTGATTTGAAATTCAGACACTCACAATAGTATTTATGTTAAATTAAAGTTTATGTTAAATATATGTTCAATACAGTCTAAATCCAGCAAAGTTATAAATGGGTTGTTTTCTTTCTTTCTTTCTTTCTTTTCCAGTATGTTCACTCTCAGCCGAGCAGCTTGCTTCTTTTGCTTGTTTGGCACCGTGCTGTGCGGTAAGGAGGTCACCTATGACACATTAAGTTAAGCAAATTTCAACTCTGCAAGAGAAGGCTCTTGAATTATGCAGATTTAAGGAAGGAGGCAGAGCTGGGTAATTCCTTTTAGTGTCTCAGTTTTCTGTCTGGAAGGAAGAGCTAAGTCCCAGGTGTATTGCCTTAAGTACACAGGTTCAAGGGGAGGACCGAGAAGTGAATGTCCTACAGCGCATGTTCACCAAGAATCTGTTGGAAGCTGACCCCACAAAGCAGATCCCCAAATAAGCAATCACTCGCCTATTTGCATGATTAGCATTCGACAAACAAGCTTTATTTGAAAATTAAAAAGAATCCTTGGCATTTATGGCGTCTGGGTCCATTCCAAGGATCTGACATGCACACGATACGTGCTTTTACTCTAGGTCACTAGAGGAACATTTCAGAAATGAAGATAACTGGTTTAAATTCAACCCAGCACACCATCCCTTGGACATTCTAGGCAAATTTTTTTCACCCTGATCCTTCATTTCTCTCCTTCCTCCATCTATTCCACTAGTTTTTAAAGGACTGTGGACTTTCATTTTCATTAGTCATGGCAGAAAAGGTAGATTTTTTTCTCGGGAGCTACCGCTAGGGGTCAGTTCTGAGTCTATGATTTTTTTTTTTTTTTTTAGGTTATGAGGAGAATATATTTACTGGGGGAAAGAAAGTTCCTGTCCGAGTGAGGGACAGAAGGGAGCCCTGAGCAGGTTGTTCTCAGGAAGCTGTTTTTTTCCAGGGACTTTTATAGAGGAAAATCATGTGATGAGGCGGGTTTAAGGTGGTGGAGAACATGGGAACTTGCTTAGGTGGGCATGAGGTAGGACAAAACTATGGTCAACCAGTGAGATTACAAGCACCGTTGCTCAGGTAAAATTAAATCTAGTACCCAATGGGGGAGCAGGTCACGTAACAAGCGGACATGATGATTTAAAATGGTCAAATCAAGGCTGCTTACTCTTCATACAGTCATCTGACAGAGAAAAACAAAACAAAAACCTCCTCTAGGCAAGGTTTACATTTCCAGAGAAAAATAATTTCCTCAGGAGAAGGCGTTTAATCCTCCAAACATATCCCCCTCCACACTGTGCCCTCAACCCTAACCATAAACGTTGCCATCATCACTGCTATAGAAGAACCAGCTAAATTCTGAGCAGTGTAAACCAGAGTTTCTGTGGACTAATTCAATTTCTTTTTAGTAGAAAAGAAAAAAAATCATAGTTATGCTGTGAAAGTTACAGGTGTAAATAAACAGAAAATGAGAAACTGTATGTTGCCTTAATCTCTAAAATGCAGAAAACGTTATTTTAAAAATCTTTTGTTTAAAACAGAAAGAAAAAAGAAAAACAAATTTTAAAAAGAGGGCCAGGGAGACAGCACAGCAGCATAAGTGCCTGCCTGACTTAGATAAAGTCCCGGGTTTGATCCTGGGTACCACAAAAAAAAAATAAATAAATAAAAATAAAAATCTTTCATTTAATCTTTTTCTATATCTATTTACTCATTTTACAAAAGTTATAATAACCATAGATACTTTAGTACTTACTTTTGCTACCAATAGCTGTCTTTAATCAAATGCATATAATTTTGGTAGCCTCTTTTCACAGTATTTTTGTATGTACCTTCTTACATACATACGCAATTATAGTTGTAGGTTAAACTCTGGGATATAAAAGTACTAAATGCAAAGTTGTGAATAGTTTTGAAGGTTTTATGACATGTATCATTAAATTACCTTCCAGATGGGTTACTTTCTGGTTAGCTCTCCCACCAGCATATGAGAGTTCTATAAACAAGTTTAGTTATAAAGTGCTTTACTTTGACCAACTGTAATAGGCTTCTGTTGCTGTATGGATTATGACATATTCAGCTTTCTGGAACAGTATGAATATTTATTTTTGGAAAACTGTTGTCTCCCACTTTGGGCCCATGTTCTGGTGAGACTCCTTCTGCTTTTGACACCAGGGCTGGAGCGTGGGCCCACTCGAAACTGACTCAGGAGGTGCACATATTTTGCTGGCACTGGGCCCATCAGAGCCCAAGCTTACAACCAGAATTTTGCTTGGGCATCCGGAAATGGCTGCTTACTCTTTTCCATTTGGAGTTAGAGTATAAGAGAATGCAGGGGCCTGAGCTGCTGGTGCAGAACCCTAGACAGAGCAAATGGATGCAGATTCAGTACTGATACTGTCCTGTGAGAACAACATCTAGCTATTCCAGAAGCCTGATTCGCCTCAGGCTTTTGAATCAATGAATTATATTTGTATTCAAGCCACTGTGAATTATATCTCCTATCAATTGCAACCAAAATCAGTTATTTAGTCTTTATTTTTTGCACTAATTTTGTGAATAAAATCACATACAGCTGTTTTAACTTTTATTATTCTTATCAGATTTTATTTACTATTTGTAGCCATTTCTTCCAAGTGAAAAATTATATTTTCATATGTGTCATATAATTTTTCTAAACTAGAATGCTTTTCTTCTCTTTTTGATTATGAACTTTTCAGCAAACTAAATAGCCTGGACATGGACATAAAGACCAATCTAAAAGCTGAAATCTATGCCCATTATGAGTTAACTTGTGTCACAGCATATTGGATATATTAAAAAAAAATCTCAAGGAAAGCTATAATTGTCATCCTCCTCCTCATCACCAGCAATTTATGAGAATAAGCATTAACATTTACTAGAAATTTCTTCCCATTCAGCCGAGTCATATGGAAGTTCACAAAGATTCTTCTGCAGAATGGAAACTCCAAGGCCACCACTGGTCATGACTTGTTCCCTGATATGCACATAGGGATGGGACCATCGTGCCCACTGATAATTATGCATCAGTTGAAAACACCAACTTCTAACAAACAAATCTGTTTATAACACACATTGTTACAAGGCCAACTGCTCAGTGTTTTTCATACATATGAAATTCAAGAATGCACAACTGGGAGCTTGTGTTCCCTAAAGCTTCTACCCTAAGAGATCTGTGCTGTTTCCAAATATAGACTTTACCCAAGAGGTGAGCATGTTAGTCTTACCTCTGGGAGAAAGGCAAGCAGTTATGTTGGTTTGAATCATCAATGTGTGATTCAGGGCTAGAATCCCCACAGCAATAGAGTAGTTAAGAAAAAAACAAAAAACAAAAAAACCATTAAATCTTTACTGCTTAGCAAACTGTCTGTTGCCTTAACTGCCCATTTCCTGAAAGACTACATAAAAAATAGACACTCTTTAAGTTGAAGCACAACCACTGCATTAGGGGACGGACAACGTTGTTGCCGGAATATTGCATAGTTATGGACAGCTGATTGATAAAAATGGGTGTGCTGCCTGAGCTAAAAAACTTACTGAGAAGATTTTGAATTGGGCGTTTCAAGGTAAATCTAAATTCATTTATTAAAGCTAGTAAGGACATTCTAGATGTAATATACACAAAATACAACACAACAATGATTAATTCCAAATGGCAAATGGCTCCAAATTTATTTTCAATTTAGTATATTCACACATTTCTTAATTATCTAAAATTTGCTTGTTTGTTTATGCTTTACAAGGCACAGAACCCAGCACACTTACACTGAGCTACATCCTCAGCCTTTTAAAATTTTTTGTTTTGAGACAGGATCTTGCTAAGTTGCTGCGCTGCCCAATTTGGGCCCCAACTTCCTGCCCACTTGTCTCCGCCTCCCAGGGTCCTGGGCTTACAGGTGTGCACCACCACTCCTAGTTTTGAAAATTAGCTTTCAAAAACAAATCATAACTTTTAGTTTGCGTGAACCAAACTGAGATGAGAAATGACATTTAATATTGTGTCCTAGAAAAGAGGACAAGATTGAGCATAAGAACGGCTGAGTTTTTGTCCCAGGACACTCATTAATGATGTGAATTTTGCGCAAATGTGTCCACTGTGAGCTTCAGTTATTTAACTTCTTCTTTTTTTTTTTTTTTTAAATGTCAGATGTAGGGAAAAAAACTTCTCTTATAAAGCTTTAAAAACCTAATAGGGCTTTTTATGAAAGTGTTTTAAAAACAGATCAAACCATTTATTTTAAAGCATGATGTTTTATAGCATGTTAAGTAACAGAAAATGATTTAGAATTGTGTATGATGTACAAAGTATTGTATGTTTTAATAAAACTCATCAAATAAAACTTATTAAAATGGCATTGATGTATTTTTATTAAGATTATTACATGAACTTTTTCCCAGTTAGTTTTTAACAACTGTGTCACAGGGTGTCTGACTCAATGGTATGAAAACACCTTCTTCAGAGGGGGCGATGTAAGTGCCATGTACAGCCCGGATGCCCAGTACTGCCAGATGATGTGCACTTTCCACCCCAGGTGTTTACTGTTCAGTTTTTTTCCAGAAAGTTCAACTAATAACCCAACAAAAAGGTAAGAGTTTGTGTTTTCTCATAGACAAAGTCAATCATTTTTTCAAAATGGTAACAGCTATGGCCAGAAAGCTACATGTCTTAGTCAATTTTCTCTTTGCAGAAACAAAATAATCAACACCCAAAAGTTAAGGGAGTAAGTTTATTTAGTTCACAGTTTGTAGAGATTTTAGTGCATAATCAGCTGGCTTCCAGGCTGGGTGGCGTGGCAGAGGGCAACATTTCCTGGTGGGCAGAAAGTAACAGTGCAACAAACACAAAAAATGAAGCAGGAATCCACGACTCAGCACCAGCCTTCTTTCTGTCCCTTGTATTTTACCCAAGCTACCTACTCCTAGCTCAGGTGGCACTCACACCCAGGACGGGGCACATTTGATCCAACCCTTCATTCTATCAAGTCCACTATATCAAGCCAATCAGTGGGCTAACTTTCTAATCACACATCCTTGACCCAAGTATCACACACTCACTCCCAGCATCACGTTCTCTAAATACGACATCTCTGAGAAGCCCCACTTGTGACAGCATGAGGCTTTGGAGGAGGGTCCAGACCTGAGCCATAGCAATACATCATCTCGCAAGTTGTTTCTCAAATGAGTCCAAGGACCAGTTTTATCAGAATGCTCTTAGGACCAGGGAGATAGTGCAGTGGTATAAGCTCCTGCCTTGCAAGTGCAAAGATTCCAAGTTCATGCCTGGTACTGCAAAAAGAAAAACAAAAATGCTCAGAAGTGGTTCTTCCAAAGGCAGACTCTGACTCCAGAAGCCAAACTTACTGAACCTAAGTGTCTTAGGCCTGGAAATTTTCATTTCAAGCAATCGTTGCATTTGTGGAAAGCAGTAGAAGATAGTTTTGTTTTTATTCAAAACCTCAAGAAAAATACTAGAGAACCATTGCGTCAAGAGATTATCTCAAAAGGGTCTAATAACAAATATTTCATCTGCATGAAGAAAGTGCTTAATTATATGAATTATTATCGTATTTTGGGTAGCACAGTATTAAGAAAATATGACAGAGCTGGATGTAGGACACACAGCTGTAATCGCAGCACTCTGGGAGATTGAAGCAAGAGAATAGGAAGTTCAAGACTGCTTGTGCAACTTAGTGACTTGGTGAGACCTTGGTTTAAAATAAAAAAGGACTAGAGATGTAGTTCTGCACAAACATACTGGGTTTGCTCCCCAGTACTACATTAGCAAAACAAAGGAAGAAAAATGATGTGACATAGATAAAGCTTTTTATTGAGACTATGATTAAAAGAGAGAAGGATTTAATGGTGCTTGTTGTGAGCCAGTTTTGACACCTGTGGCATAGATTGTGTGTGTGTGTGTGTGTGTGTGTGTGTGTGTACACTCAAATATGGGCATGTACATGCAGTGCTATTAGGTGATGATTTGGAAGAGTAGGAGTATTTGAAACATAGTGGTAATCAAAAATCTTACTAGGTTGTAAACATGCCATAATTTCATCTTAGTTTTTTTTTTCATTTTGATCAAAATCTGAAGTAAAATTTTTATTCCTATATCCATAATTCTTTTCTCTTATTTTCACTCATTTTCAGTTTAAAAACTAGAAACTAAATAGTCATTCTCTATTCCTACATGTAAAGCTACACAGAAAACCTGGCTGGTGTGTGAATACAATCATATTGAAACTGGGTTAGGTACTAAGACTGAGATCTGTGTGAGTAGTGAGACTAACATCAAACGACAGTGAAGACAGAAGGAAGTCTTCCAATAGACATAGGCTGGAAGGAATCAATAAGCAAAGTGAATACTAGATACACATTCAACTCTTATGACTGATGAAACTATTAAGCATATATATATATATATATATATATATATATCCACCAATTGGAAACATAGTTCCCTAAAAGCTTAGAAACACAAGAATAGTCATTAATTATTTAATATTGTTGACCCTCTGTGCTTGAACAAAGTGCTAGTTTTTAAAAAATTTTGAAGTGTGGTATTGCAAAAACCATTAGATGTTATAGAATCACCTCTAAAAATGTTCAAGTATCAAAGAAATCACATTTTTGAATGCTAAGCTCTGTTAGTGTAGAGAAATTACTAGACAGGATCATAATGTATGTTGATTATTCTAAGTGCACCTTCTTTTAAAAACAGGTTTGGTTGTTTCTTGAAAGACAGTATTACAGGAGCTCTACCAAGAGTGCATCGGAGAAACGCAATTTCTGGGCATTCTTTAAAGCAATGTGGCCATCTAATAAGTGGTAAGATGTAGATTTCTTAGACAAATTTGAGTTCTTAATATAGATTTATCTTAGAACTGTTGTTGGTCCAAGCCTGTTCTGTCACAGACTTTTGAAAGAAAGCACTAAGAAAGCACAGAATCGGAGAGATATTCTGAATTTAGGAGGAAATTATACTCATTTGGACAATTTTCTTCTCTTTGTCAGTCAATGTACACATGGCTAATGAGCTTCTATTATTTATGAGGTTCACAGTGTTTGCAGAAAGTGTGTGCACATCCAATTAATAGTCTCTCCCTGATTCCAGGTAAGACATTTAAAAGAAAACTTAGCAAACATCTCTCTCCCTAGTTGACTTGAGAATAATTTGTGATTCTTCTCCAGAGGTTATTTTGCTCTTCTCAAAGAGGATTAGGCAGTCTAGAGGCACTTTTGATTGTTACAGAGAGGGGAATTACTACTACATGTGGCATAGCCAGAAACGCTGTTAAATACGCTACAAAATACAGGGCAGATCCCCGCAGAATTTTGTTGCTCCAAATATCAACAATGCCATTTGTAAGAATTTGGCAACCTTTGTATGCCTTTCAGTCCAACTGGAAAGATGGAATTCTGTGAATCTTAGTATGAAAATACTTCTTAGAAGAAATGTGAGTCTAAGATGCTAGACAACTGTAATTCTGACATCTAGTGGTGCTAATGTATTGGGATAATTTTTTTTAAACTATCCTCTAGTTTGACTGAGGCTGATCAGAAAATGAAATGTAGCTAAAAAGATTTCATTAATTCATGGACTGGCAGAAAGTTAAAATAACCATTTTAAAACTGTATATTCTTACATCATTACTTTACTGTTGACATTTAATTTGTAGGTTTAAATTTCATGTTTTTCAAAATATGTCATCCTTTCATTCCCCTTTAACACCACACCCTCATTACACAGTCTCTCTCTCTCTCTCTCTCTCTCTCTCTCTCTCTCTCTCTCT